AAGGAATTAAAAATTCAAATAAAAGAACGGATTCCTTAAGATAATGCTTATTCATTCCACATTTAAAATCAAATTTTCAAATAAAGAACTGAACGCGGTCGATCGAGCGTGCGTGGGTGAATGAGATAGATACACACGTAAACATGTAAATCCGACAAAGATGGATATCTTATTATGATTGACAGCTGAGAACGGTTAGCCTTGAAATATTTGAAACATTATATTATTATAAAGTACACTATCTTCATTCAACGCAAGAGCGTAGTGGTCATTAAAGCAATTGAAGTTAATTATAATACTTAATTTTTGATAGAACTAAATTTATCATGTCTTGGTAATAGCTAAAATATTGTTCGAAAAATACTCAAAAATTACATTTAATTATGTCTACAGATTAAGAACATATTTCCTCGTTTATAATATGTTAAGAATAATAGTTTTTATTTTTACTAACAGTATTGTTGTCGAAAAATAATTGGGTAGTTGATACCATCATTAATTAATTTCTACATCTTATACATAAATAAAATTCGCGTCATTTAGTAGTGCCTCCGATTCTATTTTAAGTTAGATCAGGTTTTAATATTTTAAATTAAATACATTTTAAATATTTATTTAATTGTGAAAACTATGACGTTCAAAGGACGAGTCTGTTTTGTTTCAAATTAAACTTAAATTTTCGTATCATATTCAAAAAAGAAAAACTTTTTATTAAAAATTTGTTATAAAATTATAAATTGTTTAAGATGAGAAAAATAAAAATAAAATGCTAACCTTCAACTATTTATATGATATAATGCATACAATTACCTATGTAAAATTTTGAACGTCCGATTTACTCCTGAGGAACTCCTCATTACCCGTATGTATAATGATGGCGGTCGTCGCTAGATGTTCATTTTTAGAAACGTCGAGTTTCTCCCGAACACGTTTTAAATCATAATTTGGACGTGTTTTTTGTATTCTAATTCAGAACGTTGACTTTAATTCTTACATTTACTCATTAACCGTTTACATATAATTCGATTGACAGTTAAGTTTAGAGAAAACAATAATAAATGGATTCAAATCGACTGCAAAGCTTACACTGTTAATCTATACATATATTTATATATGAAACAAAGCTGTGCGGACTTAGCTATATTTTATCAAAATATTAAACAATAAAGTAATCAATATCTAGATGAAAATATATAACACTTTAGATACCTTGTATTTAAAGTATATATATTTTCCGCATGTGTGACGACATTGTTTACTGCTTCATTGCGTGTCACTTCTCACCGGTCTGTTTACGCATTTAGGTATATCAAATGCTCTGGTTGTTTGTTATAAGATTGGAGTTATTCTGAGAATGAGATTTAAGTGGTACACATTTTGACACCTATATTTTGTATACGTGATAGATATCCGTAATAAGAATTTAATTCAAGAAGTGTCAAAGACACTCGAACGGTTTTAAAACATTTACGTTTAACCATATTGAGCACTGAACTGACGTTAGCTAGGCATATGGCTGTGGTAATATGTGCAGTGGCAACGCTTTGACGTGGTAACTACTTATCTAGTGTAATATATAAATCAATGCGTTTAACTATTTTATATAAAGTATATAGCATAATAAATTACTTACAGTGTTTGTTTTGTTTCCAAAAATATTTAATCAACTTTAACATAACAACACAAGATAAAATATGACCCAGTTTTATCAAAGAATATCGAATAATAATAGACTTGGCATTAGCCATTAACTCCCCGATCACGAACTGTCTCACAGCGATCGGATTATTTAGCATCCGGTTATCCAAATTTTACTTCTCTCCTTTTCATATCCTAAAATTAGTTCATATTTACTTATTCGATTATTCGATAACCTCATTTTTGAAAACTGTTTTTTCTTCCTCTATTTTTATTGTTTTCTTTTATGTCAAAAATGAGGTTATCGAATACTCGAATAAGTAAATATGAATTAATTTTAGGATAGGAAAAGCATAGAAGTAAAATTTATCAAATAAAACTATATAGGGTTCTATCGTGTTTAATTTTAAAACCATAGTGCCAGCCCCCCTACCCATGTGATTTTATTCAGATTATGATTCTATTTCATTGAAATCAGCCGTTGTAATAAAATGAATATAACATCTTTTATGTTAAAATATCGCAAAAAGAAAAAATGTTTTGTTTCTTATAATTGGCAGCATTTTTGAAATGATTCTCAACGTAAGTAAAGTGTTAGAAAACTTTTGACTCGTAACTAGGTGAATAAAGAATAACTCAAAAATGTTCAAAGGCCATCATAGACCGTACAACATCAGTTACAATTCTTAAACAACGGATGAAGAAATTCGAAGCAAGTTTTAAGATTACAATTTCGAGTGGCTAGATAATTCTGTATTAGCATACAAAGGAGAATTACCGTCTCGCTGTGCGTCCGTGTGTCGCAGTACTTATATTATAAGAGGCCACGCCTTGTAGCTGTCATATGTAACCTAATTAGGTATGAGCCCCGCTTAGATTGCTCAACTATTAAATATTGTTATAAAATTACATATTAACATCATGTAGGACCATGAATTGATGACTAATTTACACGAGTGTTTGTTACACCTTCAGAAAGGTTTACGTCTATAGGAAATAAACATAGATATATAAAAACCTTGAATAAGCAAAAAGAATTAGTTTTCTTATCATGAATTTTTATGAAAAGTATCTAATACTATCTTCAACATAAGTCGTAAGATATACGACTATACGTGGTAGAGCCATGCTGCAGTTATATTACGTATAGTAGTATAGTTGTAGCACGAATGGGTTAGCTCGACCGGGGAAGGACCACGCTCTAACAGAATACCAGCGTCAAATAGTAGCTTAATGCTGCTGTATTTCGTATGGTGAGTGTAGAGAACCGGAGACCATTTTTACTGGAAACGAGGCATTCCATCTTAGTCCTCACGGGTGACAACGCATCTGCATTTTGATTTGTAATCGAGGATCTATCCTAGTAGTAGATGTCTAATGTATACTGGGCCAAAGCAACCACTTACCATCAGGTGGACTGTGTGCTCGTTTGTCACCCTATCTTATAAAAAAAAGTAATCAAAACTAACTGGAGGGAGCTAACGCACATACGTACTAGGGACAAGTAGTAAAGTTAAAAATGTACACACCTACATCAATATAACCGAATCAATGCATTCGAAGTCCATTAAATACGCATTATTTAAGGATCAAAAACTAGTGATCAGATTTATATGGGACCAAACAAGAAGCACCGGATTTCAAATAAACGAAATCAAAATCAAAATCGGTTCACCCGGAAAAAAGTTCTGAGGTAATACATATTAAAAAAAAACATACAGACGAATTGAATACCTCCTCCCTTTTTTGAAGTCGGTAAAAATAAAACAGGCACAGGAAAAGTTATTAAAATTTCTATTTATTGTGTCGTTCTTAAAATAAGGGTGACAAACGAGCACACAGTCCACCTGATATATGAGGACTAATAGACGTCTACATCTATGGATTAAGAATCAAAACGAAGATGGGTTGTCACCTAAGGACTTTTACAAATGCCTCGTTACCAGTGAAAATGTCTAAATTTCCCTAAAGCACCATACGAAACACAGCAGAATTAAGCTGCTATCTTATTGTGTAAGAGCGTGGTCTTTTCTCGATCGAACCGAGCCACTCGTGCTGCAATTAGAATATAGTTCCAGCGTGGATCTTCGATGTGATTTTATCGCGTTTATTTAACTGATTTTACTTATTTTTAATTCCCGACGTTTCGGGTGCTTTACAGCACCCATGGTCACGGGGGGGGGACTGAGATGTTTGACGTCCCAATGTCATAGTTAGCCCGGCTACCTTCAGTTTTTTAATATTAATTTTTCGGTCCGATTTACGCAAAACGAGCTTACAATATCTTGAAGTCTTGCAATGGTATGCTTGGGTTTGGGTTTAATTTTGTTGATTATAAGACACCAAGCAGATGGCAGCACCCATCCATCTTCTCTATTGAAATTTGGATGTTTTTTAATTTCAATAGCCTCACATATCATCCTTGGTAGGAATCGGTGTTCTTTTGCGAGGACTTGTGGTTTATCAAATCTGATATAATGGTGGGGACGATCTTGAACATGTTCACAGACTGCACAGACTTCCCGGGGCGTGTGTGAACGTGAAGCACCGACGCTATGAAGATAAGGCTTAAAACTGGCAGTGGACTTTTACTTTTAAGGACCGTCTTCTCATCATCATCATCAAAATCAGTGAAAAGAATGAATAAAATGAAATGAATGAAATGAACATTCTTTATTTTTCGACGTAAAATAAATAATATTTCGTTTGTCAAACGCCTAATGGTTCCTGCAGTCCTTAAACAGTCCAGCGCTGTCCTAATTCTTCCTAGAGGAGATCTTTTCACCATGCTTAGGTGTATATTGTTGACAGCTTCTTCTGAAATCTAGAACTTTAAGTGGTGGTTCATAAAATCGGCCTGATTGTTAATATAAATCTGGTGTTTTCGATTCCCTGTTTTTAATAGATTTAAGTAAGTATGATACACAAAAATATGGACACTACAATAAATGACTGTTATTTATATTATTTTAATATTAAAGTTTGACGTTAACAAAGTGTTAAGGCTAAACTTTAATATTAAAATAATACCACGACCTCATGGGAGACCACGCTCTCACAGAACACCAGCGTCAAATAGTAGCTTAATGCTGTTATGTTTCGTATGGTGAGTGTAGAGAACCGGAGACGCTTTTTACTAGAAACGAGGCATTCCGTCTTAGTCCTCACGGGTGACAACGCATCAGCATCTTGATTCGTAATCGAGGACAGATGTAGATGTCTATGGGCCACAGCAACCACTTACTATCAGGTGGACTGTGTGCTCGTTTGTCACCCTGTCCTATAAAAAAAGTGTCAGTACAGTTGCTACATAGTAAACAATGAAACTATTCAATATTTATATAATAGGGCACCAGGAAGACATGGCGCGGTTTACTTCGAAGCTCGTCATTAAATTCCTAACACTTTTCTCATTTAAATTTATAAATTTCCGGTGTAAGTGAATTGTGATTGCTACGCACAGCACGCTCGGCCGATTGCACACACACATTCCTAGAGACATACATTTTGTTGCCTACTGTCCGTTCTATAAAATATGAACGCAAAATCTTTTTCAATAGACGTGTCTAAATTGACTGTTGTGTTATTACTTCTTTTTGTTTATTAACACTTATTTGAGGTTAGACTTGAGTAATAATTAATAACGTAACCTTATTGCGTAATTACTAATGGCCAAAATGTTTTTATCAGCAAAGATCTTTCTCTATTCTAAAATTTGCAAAATAAATTATCTATTAACTTATATGATCTAAGCTATCAGCATAAGCCATTTTAAACAGACCTCTATGTGGAAACTTATAGTAAGCGATAAAATGTCAGCTTAACGTAAACATTTTATAAAAGTAACAAATACGCAACGAGAATTCTATTTAATACACAATAGAGCATACACGATTTCAAATTCAAAATTCAAATTTACATTACATTTTTAGGGTTACCATGTATTTTTTGAGAATAAATCATATATTTCAAAATATTGTTACAATAAAAGCTAAATTTTATCCAAAGTTAAGGTTACAGTATGATTTTATTGTACTTCATTAAGTTTGTTGATGAGTATGAATAACCCTGGGATAATTTTTTTTAGAAAAACGTACTACGTAAAACGTAGGTACCTATGTATACATTAGTCCAAATCTACCATATCTAATAAGTTATGTAAAATGCAAAGAATGGTAACCCTATTCTATTCTGATTTCGTATTCTTAATTCGAATTCAATTATTATTTTCAATTACCGTGGTCCGGTCGTGAGTCCAGCGGCGTACCATTGTCCTAGTTTTTTTTATTCAGAACAAAATACTAAACTCGCAAGAAAAGGTAACTCGTTAAAACCATATTATATTAAATTTAGCAACCTCTTTGTAGTATTAATTTTTGTTACGAACTTTTCTAACGGAATGAAATTCGTATTTGGTTTTATATTCGTATTTAATCACGGGCAGCACATTTTTTTTTTTTTTTCTTTTTTTTTTTTTTAAAATTTTTTTCTAATTATTTTCGGTTGCCTAATGTCATTTTTTCTCCAGTTATAACTTTGGGCCACATAAATAGCTTTTTAGTCCCTAGCGATTGCAATCAATTCGGGCACAGTTCTTCCAGAAAATTTACACATAAATTAGTCATTTCTGGAAGACTCATACTTACGCCATAAAATAAACCGAGGTAGGTACCTCTGAAAACGTTTTTTTTCGTTTATTTGTCCGATGCTTATAATGCGTTTATGCATGTAGCTTTAACGAAAACTACGGATATTTATGGAAAAAAAGGAGTGAAAATTCTTCGTCATAACGTTTAGGATTTCCTGTCAGCACAGCCTGTTACGTCCTACGTACCTGTGACGTATTACCTACTACAACACTGTTAGTGCAGAAACGAGAAATGGTTTATTTCGTTCTACTATTGTTATTTCTTCATCTTCATAGCCCTTCGCATTTATTTATTCATTCATTTTAGTCCTTCTGCCTACTTCCAAAGACTTGGTATCTTCTATAGATTACCACCTATATTAAGTTTATACAGGAAAATGCTGTTGTCCATCTCCCATTTCACTTTCCCTCTGTTATCTTTTACTACACCCACGTGATATGGAGTAGTGATGAGACAAAAAATAATATACCTGCGGAGTTTCTTACGCCGTTTCTTTTCCGATTGCAAGTGTCCATAGACTGTAGAAGCTATTTATGATCAAGTGAACTGTTAGTGGCACGTTTGCCAAAAATAATACACACAGCCTTTATAAATTGTGACAATTAACGAGATGTACTATGGCTAGCCATGTAAAAGAGTCTATAGAAATGAAATGAAATTAAATATAGATGTAATTCCTTTTTTTAATATACCGTTTCGATATGAGGTTTCTCTCATCGGAGAAGAAATGACAAAAGAAGCTCTACAGGTACATATCCTCTTTTATGACAATCGTAGTACCAAACGTCTATCACCTTTGACGCTGATGTTCATCCTCGATCTGGATATGACGTCTGACGTAAATGAGATGGTTATAAAGCCATCTTTACGCGGTAGAGCCACGCAGCAGGTAGAATAGTTGTAGCACGAACGGTTCAACTCGATCGGGGAAAAATCACGCTTTCCGAAAATACCAGCTCAATGCTGCAGTGTTTCGTATGGTGAGTGTAGAGAACCGGAGACTCTCTTTACTGTAAACTAGACTTTCTATCTAAGGGGTGAAAACGCATTTGCATTTTGTTTTATAATGGAAGATAAATGTAGCGGTCTATATGCCACATCACCAACTTTCCATAAGGTAGACTGTGTTTTCATTTGTCAACCCTATACTATAAAAAAACGTACAAAAAGCTTTGTCATATATCATAGTGGTCATTACGATACCCACGAGATGCTTATATCGATGTTTTAATTATACTCTTGTAATATCTACCTACATTCTATGCAAATAAATCATCATTTTATCATCATCATTACAGCCCTTCACAAGTCCACTGCTGAACATAGGCCTCCCCCAAGTAATGCCACAAAGCACGGTCCTGAGCCACCTGCATCCATCGACTTCCTGCATATCTTACCAGGTCGTCACTCCATCTAGTGGGGGGTCGCTCTACACTACGCCTACCGGTACGAGGCTGCCACTCGAGAACCTTTCTTCCCCATCGGTTATCGGTTATTCGAGCTATATGGCCGGCCCATTGCCACTTCAGCTTACTAATCCGTTGGGCTATGTCGGTCACTCTGGTTTTACTGCGGATATCCTCATTTCTGAGTCTATCACGCAGAGAAACTCCGAGCATAGCCCTCTCCATAGCTCGCTGAGCGACCTTGAGCGGCCTCATACGGCCAGCAGTGAAGTGCCGGCCGTGTAGTGGCGGTTAAGAATATCCACTACCCCATATCTTCCCGTGGGTGTCGTAAGAGGCGACAGAGGGAGACAGGCAGGAGATGGGCAGCAGCATCTTCCTGATAACAGCAACTGTACGACAAAAAAAACTGCGGTTGCCAACCCGCTCGCCAAGCGTGGCAACTATGGCAATATACCCCCCATGAACAATGCAAATAAATAATTATGAATTTATACAATAAGGTGATTATTCTCTACATTTGTAGTATTTTAGCTGAATTCTACGTGTACGACGCTATCACACGACTTTATCCTTCAATAACAGCATTATAAAACACTTTGAAACACAATAATTACTAGTTTCGAGCAGGGATGTTATGGAGCTCCGTAACCGTATCCGAAACTATCGGATATCCGAAATAAAAAACTATTCGTAACCGTAACCGAATCCGATATAAAAGTTTCGGATAATTTCGGATAAGGGTAGGGGCTGAGTCTAAATGAGACTTGTTATAACAGGTTTCTTTTTTACATTAGCGGCGCGTGTCTCTTACTCTTGCATTGTTTGTTTATTATTTATGTTGCAGTCATACATAAGTCCCGTCAGTCAGTTTTATATTTAGGTACGAGTAATTAGTTTAGTTCGACGAAGTGAAAGAAAAGTGTTGTGTTATTAAATTGTTTACCTAATCTGGACCAAATGCGACCTAAGTCTAGTTTAATTTGGAGATTTTTTAATCAAGTTAATGCAGATTCCGCAAAATGTAAACAGTGTGATAAAACCTTTTCACGAAAAGGAGGTGGCACTACTTCGCTTAAACTTCATCTTAAATCAAAACACGGTGATAAGTACGAAGAACTTTTGTTACTAGAAAAAGATATCCAACAAATACCACATACCACGAAACAGCTGACACCATTACAAGAGTGTAAAAAACAGCTGTCAATAACAGATTCTTTAAAAAATAAAGGCGCCTGGGATGAAAGTAATGTCAAGCAAAAAGAAATTGATAAATTAGTAGCTGAAATGATTGCATTACAAAACTTGTCATTTAACTTTGTGGAAGGTGTCGGCTTCCAAAGATTAATGCAGGCAGCATTACCACGCTATCATCTAAGAGGTCGGCAGTATTTTACTAATTTGCTGTGTACTGATATATACAATAAAATTAAATTAAAGGTGCTGGGATTACTTAAGCAATTTGAAAAGTTGTCATTTACTACAGATGTGTGGTCAGAGCCCAGCTCAAATGTATCGTTACTTAGTCTTACTGCTCATGGCATCACCAATAAATATGAAAGAGTTTCTATAATACTCAAGTGTGAACAATTAGAGGGTCGGCACACAGGTGAAATTATAGCAAATAATTTAAACAATATTTTGAAAGATTGGGGCTTAAGCACGGAATCAGTTCATTGTATTTTACGCGACAGAGGATCTAATATGATAAAAGCTATGAATATGGCCAATTTCACTGATGCAAACTGTACTATTCATCAACTACAATTATGTGTGCGATCAACGATGGAAATCGAAGAATTTCTCTCGTCAGTAATTACGAAGTGCAAGAAAATTGCAACTCACTTCAATCACTCCCCTAATCGCGCAAAATGAATTGAAACAAATTCAAACAGAAAGACTGAACCAATCAGGACTAAGTATAATTCAGGAATGTTCCACACGGTGAGATTTTTTTATTCTATTTTATACACCTATCTATTATGTAATTTTTTTTTATTTGATTTGACATTGTTTTTTCTTTTTTCACAGATGGAACGCGACGTATTATATGATGAAAAGAATATTGACATTAAAAGACTCCTTAGTACTGTATTCGGGCGCGCATGATATACCAATTCTTAATGCTGATGAATGGCTCGACTTGAAAAAGTGTGTTGCAATACTAAAGCCGTTCGAAGAAATTACAAAGGAGTTAAGTAGTGCTACTGCAACAATAGCATCAGTGATTCCATTAATATATACTCTTAAAAACACACTAGAAACAGAGAAGAGTAAAGAAGAGACTTCTGAGAACTTCAAATTAATGATTACGAAAATGATCCAAGACATCAATGTCAGATTTCAGGATATTGAAAATAATAAAATATATACAATAGCTACTTATCTAGATCCACGGTTTAAACTCAAGTTTTTTACTGAAATTACGAAGGAACAGGTACAGTCTGAGATTCTGGGGATTCTTGGGTGTTCAAAAGCTTCTCGTGATGAAGGTCCTTCTTCACCTAAGAGATCACGGAATGAGATTCCGACAACAAGCTCAAGCAACTATTCACACATTCAATCTTGTCTAGCTGAAATATTAAGCTTAAGTGACGAGGAAGAGCAAAACATAGATTGTGGTGATGGTGTGCACAATCAATTTATTGTTAAAAAGACATTACTAAATGAATACAACAGGGAGAAACGATTGACACTCAATGAAGATCCACTTTTATGGTGGAAAATGCATACCAAGTACCATTGCTTAAGTGATTTAGTAAGACAGTACCTTTCTCCACCTCCTGGAAGTGTACCAAGTGAGCAGCTTTTCAGTGCAGCTGGGTTAATTTATGACCCCTTAAGAAATCGACTTTCTGGTGATAAGGCTGCGAAATTGCTTTTTGTTAAGTATAATTTACCTTTGCTTAGTTTCGACTATTAAAAGAAATCATTAAGTGAAAGACAAGTAAATATTTTGTTATGTTATGTTCAGATTTTAGTTTTTATTCTTCAATATGCAAAGACTTAAGAAGACTGATTTATGCGTTGTAATAGTTCCTAGAAATATATTGAAGAATATAATAGAAAAAAAAACTAATAGCATTGTTTTTGATTATAATAATTTTGTAATAGCATTTTTAAGTAGATAACTTAAAAATATGTAGGTAGCTACATTAATTAGTATACTATTCTTATAAAATTGTTAATTACTTGAATAAATGACTGATTGTAATACCAAATGATAACCAAGATATAAAGCCAAATGATTACCTACTTATTTGTATTTTACTTAAATACCTCAAAAATCTTATCCGATCCGAAACTAACGGATAATCCGAAATAATTTTATATCCGTAACCGAAACCGAAACCGATATAATATTATTCCCATATCCGTATCCGTATCCATATCCGAAATATCATATCCGTAACATCCCTGGTTTCGAGGCCCGTTTTAGTTACAAAAACACCCGAACATTTTTCAAACAATTAGACAGTTTTGGATCACCCAAGATTAATGACCTCACTAACTGTCCGCGTCACATTTTGCAACATCTAGTCAAATTACTGGTCAAACTTGTTACAGTAATAAATAACTTTAAATATTTTTTTACCACCGCCGTTTGTATCGATGAAATAAACTCAGAATGCAATACTGAAATATCATATGACGGCGATACCAAGAAACGTCCAAAAGCATAAAATTCCTTTTAAAACTTTTTATAGGCGAGTTTATAAAGTTGATATTTCGAGAATTCTCAAAAAGGAACAGCGGTAACAGACCCAAGTTAGTAAACAGAGCTGTTATTATAATAGAAGGGAAAAAATCATCGAGGTCATCGACACAAGAGTGTTCCCAGCCACTCGACTGTTTTATAGAGAAAACACTTCAAAACGTATATTACTATTTCCATACTTTAATTACATGCTTAGACACCCACATGGATGCCATGCACGCACACAACTACACATCAATAATTATAAGATAAACATATGGCTTTTTAAGCGAACCAGCAGTTGTTTAATCTGTGTCGAATGTACTTGTATATTATATTAGGTTACTTTCCTGTACTCCTGTAGCACAGAGAGTCTTTGATGGTAAGAAAATAAAGCTCTGATTTATTTATTTACTTATAAGCATATAACGTACACCTTTATGTAAGAAAATTTGGTGTAATAGTAATTGCTTATTATTGTATTAGTGTATATAGTGGTACTGGCAATGCGTAGCTTAACAGGAAAAAGAACTCGTTTCACATTCAAATTGGTATAGGAATTTGAATACGCGATTGTCATTGGTTGACAATCAATCATTATAGTTTTTGAAATTCGAATTCCTCGGCATACGTGAGGCATCAGGAACATGAATGTTGCCAGTATTTTAATACTCTTATATTTATCGTAACAAAGCTGTAGAATATTAATTTTTCAAACAATCACATAATCATAGAATCATAAATTGCCAGTATTAAGTTTTAAAATTAAATGTTTATTTATACTCACATATAGATATTTAAAAAAACAAGCAACTTATTTTCAAGTGTACTCATTTAGTGTTGTTTTTAAAATAAAGCTCGTGTATTTATTATTCTCAAGAACAAGTAAGAACATGGAAGAGGCAAACACTCATCTGAGATGAACGTCTGAAAATTTACATTATCTCATTTTCTGAGTATTGACTTAAAGATTTGGAAGAAATACAAACACTGTTGTTAACTTCCTACTCAAATTTTTTGTGTGCTGTATAGCACATTTTATGTATAGCAAAAAGCTAAAAATCAATATTAAAAAAAAAATTACTACCAGTTCAAGAAAATATGGGTTTATATCTTCAGGTTTTAAATAAAAACGTAATACTTTTTATACCCATTGACTTATATATTACTAGCGTAAGGACCGGGCCGGCCAAACAACTAAAACGGACCAGTGCGTTGGCCCTAAAATTACAGTTTAGGGCCAACGCGAATCGGTCGACAGTGGTGCGCACGCAGGACAGATTTGCCTGTCATAAATATGTCTATAGTTGCGTGGTAAAAGAATGCAAAAATTACGACACAAAGATTTTAAAAAAACATGGGATATCGTATCATCGGTATATAACCTTATATTAATTTTATTACAATTAAATTATTATATAAACACATTTTTATTTTATTTTACAGTTAGTTTAGTTACATTACCAAGATTAGGCCAGGGTTGGATTCAGACTCTCAAAAGTATTGTGCATGGAAAATAAAATTATACTATTTAAACAAATTATATCACGTTTGACGTTTCATGTTTCTTTTTTCCCATGTGTCGGGATTTTGGCGTCCCGCGTCTTGTTTATCTATGCGTTTCGGTTTATGACGGTTTAATATTTATTTCTGTTTAATTTTTGTTTAATGAACTTAGTGTAAGTTAAATTTTGAATATTGGTACCTAATGTATTTTATATTCAATAAGGGTAAAATGAAAAGAGTACAAAAGAAACCATATCTGCCTTGCCTGATTGCCTCTGGAGCATAGAGTTTTTATCGTGGTAGCACATAGTCATTATAGTTGTATCAAGGATGCAACATAAATGCATCGATCGAGCATCTATTGACCAGAAAGGGAGCTAATTCTAATTTTATTAAAAAAACGCGGTACTCATGTACAATACAGAAATTCTCGATATCGTAGTGGTTAGTATTAAAATATAAAAGGATCCAATAACAATACAAGTCGACCTTTAGATCAAATTATGGTATTTTCGCTTAGTATTATTACGATACTATGTACCTACTAAACTATGAAATAATGCTAAAATTAGGATAATTATTCTACGAAATCCGACCCTGGTTACGTCGTGTTTTGATATGACGTTTGTATTATGAGATGCGCTACTGTTTCTCGTATGAAAAAGTTATGAGTAAAATATTTAGATGGGCCTATCCTTCCTTTTGAAATCATTGTTTATACCATATATCCTTAAAAGTTCACAAATGAACAATGAATCTAGTGGTAGAGCCCACTATAGAAAATATTTGCCGTAACCGTCAACGCTTAGCAAGCTAACCTATACTGCTGATCTCCGTCGCTGTTCGAGGTACTTTTACGCCTAGTTTAGCAGATTAAACTTGTTTTTCTGACCAGGAGTTCGTCTACCATCCTTTAACAGACTATTGATGCATAGCAATAATGAACGCAAAAGATTTAACTCTAGGAAGTGAAAACGTTATAATTACAAGCTTTATAATTGAAGTCCTCAGAGTTGACAACGCATCTTTGGCTTTATTTGTTTGGATTTTTATCGCAGGTATCCTCGGTCTAAAGTGGCCTCTTACCATTTAATAAACTGTTTATCATGCAAATATAAATAATAAAGACCATAATGTCTTTCTGACATTTCCCATAGTTGCCTTGTACAACACCCACGGGATATGAGATAATAAGTTATGCCACCTTTTAGTCTCTACGGGTACAATAATTATAATTGATACTTTGTTACAGAACTATAACACGTATAAAAAATTGCCCTTTACACATCACAATATACCTAATAATGAACACTGGCCACACACAATATGCATACAGTAAAACATTTTTTGGTTCAAATTAATGTGGCCAGTATCTACAAAGTATGTTATTTTATACATATAAAGTATTACACATTTTGAAGTCCTCAATATTATTCTGAACAGATGCAGTATCAAAGTCGGAGACTGAAAATAACTTTGGCCCCTTAAGAAAAAGGTAAAGCTCTTGTGTGGGAAACTACGTGCGTAGACACTACGGCGACCTCTCATCTGAAGGTCCGAGTGGCCCGTTTTAAATAAAGATAACTTCATTTTACTAGTAAATTTTGTAAAAAAATTTATAAACAGAATATTGTAATTATCTTTCGTTAGTACACAGTACTTCCATAACAATTATTCAGAATACCAATAAAAACCGGCCAAGAGCGTGTCGGGCCACGCTCAGTGTAGGGTTCCGTAGTTTCCCGTCCTTCACAATAAGTGTTCCCACTTATGAGTTTAAAGGTGGGTATCCATTATGTTCGCGCTCCAGCAGCGCTCCGCGCTACTGCATCTGCTCCCGGTAGTGGGTACTCTTGTTTCCATCAAAGTTCAAAATGATTTTCCTAGAAAGTCCTTATAAAGTTCTACTTTTCAGATTTTTTTCATATTTTCTAAACTTATGGTTCAAAAGTTAGAGTTTTGAAGCGATTATTTCCGAAATTATTGACATTATCAAAAAATGATTTTAGTAAACCCCTATTCATTTTTAAATAGCTTTCCAACAATATATCACTCGTTAGGGTTGAAATTAAAAAAAATCACTTCCCACTTTACATATAGGGGGCTACCATAATAAAACATTTTTTTCCAATTTTTATTGGAATTCAATGTCGGCGTGATTGATACACATATTGGTACCAAATTTCAGCTCTCTAGTGCTAACGGTCACAGAGATTAAGCGAGGACGGACAGACGGACAGACAGACATGGCGAAACTATATGGGTTCCTAGTTGACTACGGAACCCTAAAAAGTTGGTGTTTTTTTACATTAAGGCAATTTAAAATAATCGTTACTTGTTTCCGAAGTGAAAGAAGACGTCTTATACAACGCAAACAAGTTAATCTGTAATCTTTCACACACAAAACGCTCGAATGGCCAGTAATGGGCGTGCAGTAACAGTTTTCCATCAAAGCCAAATTTCTAATCGGAATCTGACAGACGAGGTATGTGGAGCACAGTTTGTACCGTAAACGCCTCGAGCAATTTCACGTTAGCATAACAACGTATTTTATTTCTTATGTTTATACACAGAGGCACAAAAATCGTATCGATTGAGCCATGAATGCGCGCCATTTTGAGCGTAACGGCTTTGAGATACGAACTAAATCGGTGTTGACTTTTTTAGTAGAATCCGATCAGTCATTGCCTGTCTGTGATGATGATCATTTAAAGAAACAT